CTTTTAGAGGAGAACATACTTTCGGTACAACAACTTTGCTGAGCAAAACTTTATCTAACGTTATCCAAAAATAACACCTAATTTCAGTAGTGATTGCTGCTTTTCTCATTCTTATTTGCATTTGCACAATTTGCTTGACATGTGCCTGCATGAGCTGGATGAAACCTCAGCAATATCCGCTTTACCAAATGCCTCCAACCTATATCCCTCATGACTCACCTGATAAATATATGATGTTGCATGAATGGGAAGATGAACGTTATACTGCAGCTTTATAATATCTGTATTTAATTTATTCCTAACGAGTGTACAGAAGTACAGAAGACACTTCTTTGTCAAATCTGTTTTCCAACTGAAGGTAGTGAGGTTAGACATCTTGATTTCTGCACCAGCTTATCCGTTAAACAGTTGTGTAACTACAGGCTCTCTTAAGATCCCACATAGTTAGAAGGTGTTTAACTATATAGTACATTGTGCTTTTACCTTCCATTTACTATATTTTCTTAATGACAAGAAATCTTACTGTGTAATTTTGCATTCGTATAACCGAATTTTAATTACGTTCAAGAAGTAATTGTTTCTGTATTTTGTCGTTGTTAATAATTATTAACAATTATTTTTTGAATATGATCTGGTTTGGTTTATGCCTTTTTAGTCACTGTTAAAATATGACAAGCAATCTCTTTTCTTCCTTAATAATGCTGGAAAAGAGAAGATGGTCAAATTTATTAGGTGGTGTTATTTTGTCAAATCTTGTTTATCGAATTGTAGTCAAGTTTATCAAATAAATTTTTTAATCTAACTGCAGTTGTTGGTGTTTATACAATTTATCTAATTTAGCTTTTTTGTTGTTCACTTCAAAAATTTTGAAAAACTTTTATCGTTTTGTTTCAAACCTTAATGCATTTAATTAATTTTACAGTAACTATGTGTAAATGAAGCTTTCACATTTGATTCAATTATTAACCAACAATGAAGAACATATCAAATTTGTGAAAGCTTTAAGTTCATACCTGCATATACCTGCATACATCAGTTAAACAGTAGTTGCTCAGCGTTACTAAAATATTTATAAAAAGAGCAAATATGAGTGCGAAGAACTGAGAAAAAAAGAATATTTCTCATACTGCGTTCTCAAATTATAAGACTTACTAAAAAAGGTAAAAAATAGCAAAAGAAAAAATAGCAGATTAGTGCTTCCGCACTAATTGGTGCGGCTTCTGTGCCTTCTTGTTTTGAACCCTGTGTAGTTTTGCAGAAGTGATATCCAATTTATAAATGAATTTAATAGATGAGACTAAAACAGAAACTTGGTTCGGAAAATTTCCTCACTTTGGAAGTTTGTTGTCTGTGACAGTCTTTTCAATTATGCTGAATGCTTTATCACTGTAAAACGCTCTAAAAGTCCAGTTAGTAATAACAGACCGGGGTCTTTAGAAAGACTACTGATTTTAAGATAATTTAATCTTGAGAAATCTGTCTGTCAGTTTTTCAGTTCAAAAATTTGACTTAATTAGGGACCTTATTGAAGGTTTGAGGCAGTATTTGTGAAACGGCATGGAGTACAATAAAAGCAAAAAAT